TGTGTGTGTGTGTGTGTTCCGAACAGGAATTTTTGCTCCTGAACCGATTCGGACCAAACTTCACATTTATGCATTTTGGAGCACTGCGGGAACGTAGGCCACTTTATCCAGGAAAATATCGGATATTATCGACTTATTGATTTTTTTCCGCATTGTTCGCTCTAAATAGCTGAGTTGGTACACTGGGGTTTGATATGCTGATTAAAAATATGATAACCACTTAAAGATTAATCGATTACGTCCACTGATTGATCGATTTTTCGCACTTTTCCTTTTGAGGAACTGTGAGTTGACGAACGGGGGTAACTTGATATGCTGGTTACGAATTTGATACCCACAAGGTCTATCAATTTGTTTCATCGATTTGGCGCTTTAAACTTTTGGAAATTGGTGAACAATGGTTTGTTAACAGGCTGATTACGTCTGTGATTCTCACTCGATACGATATCTACTACCTTCGTGGTTTTTGATGGTGATACTACCGATTAATGCTGTGCTAGCATGCTGAACAGTACCATGTTATTTATTTCAGCCTAGGTTTGCTAAGAGAGAACTTTTATGCTGGAGATTTTAAGAACTAAGCTGTGCTCCTTTCAGAAAAAAAAATATTTTAAAAGTACCACTGACTACTCTGAAACAGCCGAGCGCGAGTATGCAAGCTAGTTAGACATAAAGACGATGTTATAATCTTTTTCAAATGGGATTGGTCATTTGCACGCGCAAACTGTTCTCACAATATACTTCGAGCCATGGTGACACTTAACTAACACGTAACTCATTTCCGTGCCCATATGTACTTGGCGATGTTACTAAATAGCTAAACAAACAGAATGCAAACAAATGTGGTGTTTACAAATATGCGGCCACCTTTATATAAGAATGAAGAAAAACAGATTCTGGCTCTTGGAACTTTTTTTGAAGGAGGGCCTAAAAGGAAACAGAGAACTGGGCAAATACCTTCAAATGCGTTACGTGACCGGCAAAAATTTCTTGAGAAGCCCGTTATTACCGCGGCAAGTGAGTCAGAAGGCAGATCACAATTTTCAAAGTTAGTTGATGATTACAAATGCCCTTGATTTCTGTTAAGGTCTATTTCCGAAGTGTAGGGAACGATCGATGTTTGATGACGGGACTTAGCGTCGGTTCTGTGATGTTCTCATCAGGAATAAAACCTGCTTTGAGTGCTGTTCCAATTTATACTCAAGAAAGTCGTGAAAAAGATGTAATAACCATTTGAAAAGATTAATCATTCTTCCACAACCACAGCGTTTTTAGACTCTGTTGAGAAGTCCAAGAAATTGCCCCTACGAAGTGGGCAGACTAAGAAATAGATGCAATAAAGAACCCGATCCATATCTTGAAGTAATTCGTTTTCAAAGAAACAATGAAACGGTGTTATTAAAGTAGCTTTTCAGTGGCCAAAATACGAGGCGTTTGTGTTTGAATGTCTGGGAATCAAGAGCGATTTGTTTAAGGAACCTGGATCATTTGAAAAGGCGGAATCCATGTATATCGAGGTGGGCGGAAAGGTACCACAGATGTCTTATGGAAACGTTTACGATGTATGTATGTGTTGTGTGTTGTGCTGCATGTGTGTATCTTGCACAAAAATGCTATCTTGGGGTAGGGGAAGAGGCTGAAGACTCATTCCTCAAAAAAAAAACCTATTTTGCACAGTCAATGTGGTATGAATTCAACTTCCTAACCGATAGCGTTCTATGTTTGTAATGCGTTTATCTCGGAAGTTAAGCTATTTGGCTGCTGGCTTTCAACGTCTTGCTAATACTAAATGAAGAAGAACAATAGACAACAAAACTAGGGTGCGATACAATTCGTGACCTATCAAATAGATCAAGAATTTAAATATTTCCTGTACATATGCATATAAGTTACTTCATTCAGGGATTGTTGAGAAACCGCTATTAATTCCTTTATTTTCCTGCCCAAATAGGAATTGGTATAGCAGCAAAACGCATTAGTTAATAAAGCAAATTATCTTAAACGAATTACGAATCTCTAAGTTTTTTT